CGGTATGAATACTATCCAAATTTGTTTTTTAAGAGAAGTCTGTTTTTTCAGACTTTTTTTTGATAATTGTTCAATTATGTGATATCAGATCTACTATGCTGACATAGTTTTTATTATTTTGTATATGAGCTTGTATTAAAACTATTGAATAAAAATTTTGATAATTAAACTATGTTATCCTATTGTAACTTATTTGATTAGAAGGAAGAGATTACAGGAAGCACTTTCTTCATCAGTATCAGACTACGAGATCCTCTACCTCTACCGAGGATCCAAAATGCTCATCTATATTCTATTCTTTTATAGAAATCATATCGAAAACAAGTGTTTTCGAGAATTAAAGGATTGTTCATATTATTAATTTGATTTCCAAATTCGATAATAAGTTCTATGTTAATGAAGAATTAAAGTTATATATTAAAATTTGCTAAATTTTATAATAAAAATATCATAAATCAATTAACATAGGCATAATATAACTTTGACAATTAATTTAAATAATCGCTTAAATACAAAATGATAGACATCATGTGGCTGATAATTCAACTAAAGTTACAAGTTAAAGTTTGCGAGCGTTATATCTACGTATCAAAATCACAGCATAGCTATATCATTCTATTTTTGTCATGAAACATTAAACAAGAATGAGGCTTTCCAATTGCTTAATACATCTTAACACAAACAGGAATGCACAGTGTATAACTGTGCACGATTCAATTGGAACAGAATGTGTGCGCTGTGTATTGAGATCTGTTTCGAGTAGTTAGATTAAATATAGCTTTTTCCACCTGTAATAAATAAAAAAAAGTAAAAGTGCCGGCCACTCAACGTTTTCCTCATTTATAGCTGCCGTTAGTAATTGTCACTAGAAAACAAAATTTACACAACCCTCGACTAAGTACAGATGTGTCAATGATAAGGGACTCCACACAATAAAAGAAACAGGGAATAGAGAATAAGGGAACAGAGAATACAATTTATTGCCGTCTCTAAGAGACGATAATAAATCGTACGCCATACGTACATCGTACGTCATACGCCAAAGCTTGTGTATTATTTACGTCTACAACTTAAGTCTCTAAGTAAGTGTTACGATAATTCTTGTGCTCAGACCTTAAGAATTTCAACTTATCAGAAATTGTGTATTCCACAATACATGTATTGATAGGTTGAAATTCTTATTCTCTGTTCCTTTTATTGTGCGGAGCTCCTAAAGTAGGTTCTACATTAGTTGCAAGCCGATCGCAAGTTTGTTGCGACAGTCAATTTGAAGCTTGCATTTTGAAATCAACGATTCGATAGCCAACATACGTTGATTTCAAAATGCAAGCTTTAGATTGACTGTCGCAATAAATTTGCGATCGGGGATAGAAGCTAGCTTAACGGATAATTGGAACGCAACTTGTGTCGTCATATGCACGAAAATATCTAGGAATATTGCAATTGAAAACACCCTATCAAATTGTTGCCATCAAATTTGGGAACTTTAGGGACCTTATTTCAATCCAACCAATATGTCCTTTTTCTTTTCATCTCTTATAACAACTAAAGTTCTATCACATAAATAACGTACAGCAATGTTTAGATAAAATGGTAATATCTTTTATACAGTCTTTCATTTATTATCTCACCAATGTATCACCCCACGCAATATAATCTTCTTAGTAAAAAGAAGATAAACGACGTTAGAATCAATAAGTTAAACGAATTCTTTTTTCTTAAATATTTTTTTATATAGAGATAATTAAACTATAGAATACAAGTTTTCTCGCTGACAATTCTAAGTCTAAAATCAGTTTAGAGTATTTAATCGCGCTAATTTCTCCAAGACAACAGAAAGCACAACAATTTTTACATAACTTCAGCTTTGCTTAGGATATTAAACTTAACCTAACCTAACCTAAAGTCATTGACAGTAAGCAAATATACGGAGAAAGGGACTTTTTGTTGTCATCATGAACATTAAGATACATCGTCTCAAGAGAGCGTTAATGCATTCACCATTTCTCGACGTTGTGAGAGCGAATTCCTTGTCTATGAGATATTTCAGCCCGAGTAATGATTTAGAAGAACAAAGCAAGGATTCGCTTTCATTTGTGAAGCTCATTATCGAGAAGGAACTCGGAATTTCAAGCGAAATTGAGCGACTTTGCATGAAGTTACGAAAAGTTTTCTTTCGAAAACATCGATGATAAAAAAACCAGGAATCAATCAACTCAAAACAAAATTATATTTAATAAAGAGCAGTCAAACAATTGTATGCACTATGAAAAGGAGAGATTTACATCAGCAAATTTAGAGATCCGAATTAAGGAAACGAATGTCTGGCGTTCTGATTTTTTTATTGTTAATGTGAGAAAACTTTTCGTAACTCGTACAAAATCGCTCAATTTCGCTTAAAATTCCTGAGTTGCTTCTGCATTCTTTTTTACTTGTATTGCAGCAACTAAGAACTTAGAGGAAGTTCCCAATCCTTTATTTTTAATCTTAAATCCTCTCACATTAGTATCTAAAATAAAGTACAAAATAACAACATATAAGACAGTATTCATCAGTAGATATATAT